TTTCTGATGAGCAGAACGTACGTGTTTAAATGAAAGTGAAGGGAAGTACAATCCGTATGAAGCAAAACCCCATTTTAATGAGCTGCTGTGACCTAGGCAGGCAATTTTGTGGAAGGTGAGGTTATTTAGCATCAAGTATTGAATACCTACTTCTGTTTCAGCTTTTACCAAGCAAGATTCCCTGCTCCCTTAATCTTCTAAATGCACTGGCAGGTAGAAGCCAAACAGCTCTGCTAATAACAAACTCCCTAGTGAGCCAGCTGGCTGCATGTGAGGATTAACTGCAGTCCTGTCCTTCTCACTTTCATCATGACCAGTGCAGACTCCTACTATGCCCAGGAGCCTCTGGTGGAAGCACTTGGGCAAAAAGAGAGGAACTAAAATGGCAAGATAAAAATAACCAAAGAAGCAAAAAAAAAAAGATCCCACTGAGCAGCCATTTTGTTTGGGGAAAGCCTCCCATCGCACTGATTAAAAACGCCACCAGCAGTCTGCATGTTGTGAGCCAACAGCAGGAGCAAGAGCCACACCACTACAAATTATGTCTCATGACCGTTCTTACCCAGCTTAAGAACCTGGACAGTTTGGTGTAGACACCATATTTGCCTTTCTTTGCACACCCTTCTCCCCAGCTAACAATTCCAGTAACAAAATGAGTATCCTTATATCTGGTTACGTGGGGGCCTCCACTGTCTCCCTGACAAGCATCTTTTTGCTCTGTTTCATAACCAGCACAGAACATGTTTTCTGTTATTGCAAAGTTAGTGGATTGCTTGCACGTGTTCCTATCGACATAGGGCACTTCCAGCACTTTCAGTTTTTTGGATAGTCGTCCACCTTCAAATTCACGCCCAAAGCCACTAACCATCCCAGATCTTTGGTTCATCAGAACTTCATTAGCAAAGTCTGCTTCGGGGAGGCACGCTGCGACGACGTACTCAGAAAACGTTATAGGTTCCTGCAGCTTGATTAAGGCTATGTCATTATCGTAGGTCTCAGCAATGTATTTAGAGTGAACAAGTATTTTCTCCACTGTATGCATCGTTTCAGACTGTTCTTCCTTTTCTCTGTCCACTTCACCTGTACAAGATTATTAAAAGGGTCATTAACGTGGAGATAGCACAAGAAATTAAGAACAAACTTGATAAAGGAGGAGTCTACCCCTTGCTAACACTTTGCCTAAGCCTTTATACCACACAAGTAAACTATAGAAGTGCATTGCAACTTTCATTAGCAGCACCTGAATCTGTTCCCATCCCGAGCTTTTGTCTGTGGGGATTTCTGTACCGGTTTACATACAGCCATAAACATAAACATAAAGCTCTTACAGGAGCTTGAGCTTGGCTTATGTCAGGGAAGAGAAACTGGTCTGGGCCAAGACTAAACCAGTGCAAACAGAAAGTCGTGCTGATCTAGTATCACGCCCCAGAAGTGAAGTTGTCAAAATTCGAGTTCGTTTCTTCTTCCTCTAGTCAAAGTGCCACAGCTTTCCTGGGTGTTCCTGCAGAAACGAGTCCAGATGTGGCAGGAACCATCCACCTTCTGCAGAAGCACTACTCTGATGAACACAATGCTAGCCAACACTTCTAGAACCTTTGCTCTTAATCACTTGCAACTAGCTGGCAAAGAAGACAGGGATGCACCGTTATCACCTTCCACATCAGCTGCCCCTGTTATTACAAAGCAGGATTCCCACAATAACAAGAAAATATCATAAACAAAACAACAATAAACAAGTAACAAACCATGACAAGTCAATAATATGAGTAGACCTCCCACGGGATTTAGAGCACAGATGATTAGTCTGCAGCACAGGCTCAAACATCACAGCAGTAAAATAAATATCCACTTACCAACAACAACTTTGATTTCTTTAGATTGGTTCATACAATGAGCTGCAGTAAGTACAAAATTTTCATTCAAAATAGTTCCGCCACAAAACTCTTCCCCTGCCTCATTCAACAGAACAGCCTGCGAGAGAAAAGAGGTAAGTGCAGAATTAAGAGGAGCGATTTAACTTCAATGAACTATAAACAGGTAATTGATTTCCCTGCACACTATAGATATGCTTATTCCTACCACATGTACTCTGCAGGTGTAATAATAATAATAATTCTAGTAATAAATCCTAATCGCACACATGCCTATGCTACAGATTGGCATGTACTGCTGCAGAACCTGGATTGTCTTTATGCAACGCAGATGTTTGGTCTCCACCTCACCTCATTCACAGTGCTTAGTGATGGCTTTTAGCAATGAGACACTTAACTGACTGACACCAGCAGGCCAGCATGATTCAAAAGCCCTCTCTGCTGGCAGGTTAAACAGCAGCACCTAGAACCGCACCAAGCTTTTCATTCTGCCATTTTAAGGCTGCAGTTTGAAGAAGAGCACATCTAAGTTCATGGGTTCAGCTGCCTGCAGGCTACAAACGGCACACTGTACGGGCAACATTCAGAAGGCAACCAGGTTAAAGGAACAACTGCACACGTTCCCTCCAAAACACGTTCTGCTCACATGCAGAGCACAAACACCAGATTTACCTGCCATGGACATTCGCCAAGAACCACATAATCACCACCTACTATCCTGGTATAGACAAATGGAGTCTTGCTATTCCTTCGAATGCCAGGACGGGTGGTTGGACTTTCTGTGGTAGTAACAAACTCCTCCTCCACACTTGTTCCACTTGTGGGAGGGACATCTTGATCACTAGTTACATTGCTACTATCG